GTGAGGTATGTCATGAGGTACTTAAATTTCTCGATGGGAGGGAGGTCGGAATTTCTGTGAATCGTGACATCAAAATGGTCCCAAAATCCCTGCCAATCACTGATGTTTCCGGCAAAGGTAGGTACCTGGAGTTTGGGAAGGGCGACCCTTCGATGACTGCCATGAGCGGGTGCTGTAGGGACGGTTCCGGTGGGTCCATTCCCTGGTGTCCACATTTATGCTATGCCAAAAAAACGTTCAGCTATGAAGCATTGTGTCGCACGTATGCCAGGCTGTAACAGTCCACGGAGTGCTTTAAAGACCTGGCGGGGGAATCCCACAGGGACAACTGGACGAGGCACTCCAGTTGATATATCACAAAGAGAATAATCACAAAGTGCCGCCTGGGCACCATGTGTAGAGGCGATGCCCATGAACTTGATGAGGGGTGTATCATTCCAAGTTCAAGCATGTAGGCTAATTCTTGTTCTGTCACCTTGAAGCAATCCGGGTGTAGCCGACGTGGTCGAGCATAAAGTGGTTGGTCCGTCATAACAATGTGACGGGTCACGTCATGTTTGGCTGGATGTCGAGAGTTACGAGCACGGATTAGCAATAAAAAATGTTGAAGTAGAGCTTTGTACCTCGACTCTACTTGTTAGTGCCTTCTAAGACGTGTATCAGATACAGTGTGTGCTATTCCCTTAACCTTGAGATTAGTCGCTGGCTCTACTAGATGCTTGTTCACCATATCAACAAGGTTGAAATGCCGGAGAAAGTAAGCACGGGCAGGCAATGCCTACGACTAAAAATATGCATTGGAAAACTCTCCGATGTTGATTGTCAAAACTCTCACCGTAGTTTGCAATGGGCGTTTTATTGGCAGCCTGAAGGGAGGAATGCATCTGCTGAGGCTGACGAAGAAGGGCAGATGTAGACAGTACAGTAAAACCTCGTTAATTCGGATCTCATGGGACCGGCAAAATGTCAGAATTATCCGAAAGTCAAAATATCGAACGGACAAAGAAAACTGCGCAAAAATGTTTCCCTGTGACATACCTTTATTTTGAGAAAAAATATGTTATTACCACCTCCTTTCTGGACGACATTTGGGCGAAGACGGCAACTTTCCTTAGCACGGTCGAGTGCTCCACCGCACTCGCACTGTCGGAGCTACGCATCTGTGCGCTGACAATATAACATAGCAAGGCTTCTTCTAGTTTCGGGTGCACCACCTTCCAAGGCCGCTTCCTCTTCGCGTTGAACTTCTTACTCTAGAAAGTCCGTAGGATATTGGCCTCAATTTACATGTATGTGGCCAAATTGCTTCTCTTGACGTCGTAACTTTCCATCACTTGTCGAGAGACACCGTCCTTCAAGGCCCTCAGTATTTCCACTTCCGTCGCTAAATTCTTAGCCTAGTACAGCTGCAACCGAAAACGAGCAGCACAACTGACCAATGATCGGAGCGGCGAAATCGCGACACCCGGCGCTAATTTTCCCGAGCGCGCCGATAGCGAGAGTGCCAGTCACGTTGCATTTTTCAACGCGGGGGTGGCCGGCGAAAAATTGAGGAATAAGATAGCTGTTAAAATGGCAGGCTTTAGGATCCCCGCATTGAGGCATTAAACGTGACTGTCACCCTCGCTATCGGCACGCTCGGGAACAATAGCCCCGCGTGTCACAATTTTACCATACCGGTCGTCGGTCACTTGTGCTACCCTTTTTCCGTTGCAGCTATGCTTCTGCCTCTTCCATGCCAGGAGAGTAAAGCGCGAGACACATGGACGGCAGAATCGTCCGGTCCGACGTCCGATCCGACAGTCCGAACGCCACTCCAAATAGCCGCACGCGACAGTTTGAGACACACGCTTCCGACCTTGCATGCGACATGACGATCCGTTCGGCTCCGCACTTGAGATCCAAGCGCTCCACTGGAGGTCCGTGTTCCTATACAGGGTAGATTTCTGGTCTCAGGTTGAAGGTTCAGCTTTCTAGCTAAAGCGTGCATTCTTTGCTAGGACCATCTTTCTCGAATACGCCAGCGGGATTCACGCATCCGGCTTCCCGTCGCCCAAGTCAGTCCCGTTTCCTTGTTCATCCTGCCAGACCCATTACGTCATCATGACGTTTGCGCTAGCTGTGCTGTCATTGGCTGGATGCTTCCGACAGTCCAACCGCCGTGAGAAAATATCTGGCACGTTGGACGCACGCCGCATCGCTGATCCGACGTCTCAAGCGACCAAACTTTTCAGATCAGGCAGTTGTATTGCCGGATCGGACGTCGGATCGGATGGATTTTTCGCGCATGTGTCTCGCACTTAACGCGCTGAAGCACGGCAATCCAGGGCAAAACTGGTGCGAAACAGAGAGAACCGGAAGAGCGAAGAACCATGAGAAAACCGGAAAAACCAGGTGTGCACCTCGGATGGATAGCAGTCATACCCTTTGGAACGGACGCTAGCTAGTGCCACCTCCCGAATACGTCCGAATTAACCATAGTGCGCCGCATTCCCTACGAATTAATCAGCGTTTGCTGCTATTGACTAATACATACATTTGACGGGATTGGACCGGCAGTTCAAATTATCCGAATTTCCGAATTAGAACGGGTTGAATTAACGAGGTTTTAGTGTATGCTTACTTCGGCGCCAGCGTCAATAAGGAAACGCTGGCCGGTATTGCAATCTGTGACAAAGAATAAGCGGCCAGCATCCATCCCAGCACCACTCGCCACTTTTGTGGTGGGGGCTGGCATTTCCCGTCATTGTGCATGGTGGTTTGCAGTTTCCGGCTTTGCCTCCGAATGTCCAGTGGTACCAGCACAATCTGGATTGCGGTGAAATTGAGCGATTCCAAGGATTGCAGTCATTGTTGCGTTGCCGAGACGTTGATTAAGAGTGGAACGAAACTGCAGCTACTTCATTTTTAAGTTCAGTCAACTCTCGTTAAAAAACATCCTGTAGCTGATGACAGATGAGTAGTTGTGGAGAAATTGGTAGATGGTGAATCAACAGATGCTTTTGTCGATACTTGATTGATGAATTCTGCTACCAGTAGTGTGGCAACCTCCATAATGGTCTGCCAGCTGTGCCAGGGCGGGCAACTGGAGGTCTGGTGCTGTGGCAAGCACCATGCGAACATTGGTCGGTAGTCGTTAAAGAAATAGTTCCTTCAGAAGCAACGTGTCAAATGATGCTGCCCTCTCGCTGAGGGGCTGTTGGAGTTGTCCGAGCAGCTGCGGTCGTTTGCAGTCACCGAGTTCTTCACTTGTCAAAAGCTGGCGTAGGTGGCACAGTTCAGATTCCGACGTGCGCTTCACCAGTTCTGTTTTTAAGGTGGTGCAAGGTTCATTTAGTGGTGTAACGAGGACTGAATTCCGTAATTCGGCTGCAATTTTGGGTGGAAGAGTGGAAGCAATGTAGTTGATCAGGCAGATTTTTGAAGTGATGCGAAACGTAAAGAACTAGCTTTCGACTTGAGCAAACCATACCTCTGGATCGGCGGTCCCAGTACTTTGGAAGACAATCATGTACAGATGAAATTTCGCCTGCCGTGGAGTCTTCGTTGTTGCTCATGACGGTGCACTGAAGGCAAAGGCGCTTTGTCTGGGTCACCACTTATAACTTGTGTTTAATGCTAATAAAATAATGAAGTGGTTCTGAATGATATCTGCAGCGGAATGTCCAAGTGAGATCTCATGAGTCTCCGGCTCCAGTCTTCTTCAAGTTCCGTCGTCGTCTCCTTCTATAGCCCCCTAGAAGTTACAGGCAAAAAATCTCTAAATAGAATGTGCCAGATAAATAGAGTGACCAGACGTATTATACCAGACGTATTAAACCTATTATGAAACGTACTGTAGTTGCCTTTGCTAATAAATTTTCTTCACATAAACGTGCGTACAGGGGACTCTTCTATATTACTGAATTTGATGTGCTTCGGTTGGCAACATTTCTTTATATTGTTAAGAATGGGGAAGAAAAGCACTTGTGTTGTCAACGAAGAACTTTGAAAAAAATTTGTGTTCATGTCAAGCAGAGCCCTTTTCTCTGCCTCCCCTCTCTCCTCTATATCCCGTTTCTCACTCCGAGGATTATGTTCACCCTAAAGATAAAGGAAATAGTTTATATATAAAAGGTTACATACTAAATTTTAGTTAATTAAATTTCTAATTATCCCTTTTGTTCATACCTTGCCACCTGCCACAGTTAGCAATATTATCCTGGAGCTTTATTTCAAGTGTCTTTTATTAACTATATCAGCAGTTCTTAAACATGGATGTGTCAGGGAGCCCTTGGGGACCCACCAAAGTGATAGGGGCCTTGCGCCAGCAGGGGAAGGGGAAGATAGAAGGGGGGAGGGGGGAGTATAAAGTAAGGCCATTAATAGTGTCAACGGCATCCTTCACTTTCAGGTATATAAAGAAGTCAGAAGCATCGAGTAAAAAGATGAATGAATGAATTGATAGATGGTAACAGCTGTACCTTTTATAACGAGCGGTAGCTTGCTTATAACGGGCGGTAGCTTGGGTGGGGGTAGAGGGTTAAGGCAAGGGCTTCGCGGACCCCAAAAATGGTGTCGCGGAGCCCAGTGGGTCCGCGGAACTCCATATGAGAACCACTGAACTAGACAGTATTATTCCCAGCCGTAGGTAAAACACCTAGATCTCATGCTGACTTGGTACACTTTCAAAGGCCTATTCACTGGGGTGGCTTTTATGACAGCCAACTGCTTTGCTCACCATTGGTTGTATGGACAGAACTGCCAGCTTGTACCACCCACAACTGAGAAGTTAAGTTTTCAGAAAAAAAAAAACACTGTAGCTTCACAAGAGAGGGTGTACAAGACTGCTTGGCACAATAATCCAAGGCTGACAGCTGTTTGAACTTGTAACATAACTGAGTGTTTCAAAACCCATAGATAGCACTGTATGGCAATTCACTGGCAGTTTTATATTACCATGACAGATCGTAGTATATAGTCACCAATGTGAAGTGAATCGAAATATCTTAAAGGTGTACCTGAACTGAGCAGATTGATGAAGTAAAACACTGTGGCATTCAGAATCAAATCAGGAACCAGGAAAAGTAGAGAACAGAATGTCGTTGCCACCCACTTGACGTCCTTTGGGTATGTAAGGTGTGTTGAGGAAATGGCACAAGACAGGAAGTAATAGAGAAAAGGCCTTATACATTCATTGAACCTAGCTTAGCCTAATTATTTAATAATCAATGATTTTACAATACACTGAAATAATATTTATAGACAGCTTTCCCCTTCCATATTTTTAATTCTTCCTCCCATACACCTTTCCAAGAAACGCTCCTAGGCCGCCGCCATGTTGCTGATGCGGCTGGTACGACTCTCGCACCCTCCAGCTAGAAATTTTCTGCATTTCTCTTGGACTGTGAAAACTAGCTCAGCGCGATTCTCTTCCTATATTTTGCAGTTTTGCATTTAAAGTTTTCTGGTCCCTCTTGAAAGTTTCCACTTAATTTTTCTGATGCATGATGTGTACCCTTCCTGTGTTATTTTCCACCGTGAGAAGTAGGGCTAGTAAGTGCGTACCATTCAAGTGTTTCTGCTCAACATTCATGGAAAATAAAGGAGGGAAAAAACAATGAACGGCGCTTGACGCGATTTTGCAAACAATGACAACTGTTCTCACCCCTCCCAGAAATAATCCGCGTAGAGTCCTTCTCAGTCATAGCCAAAAATAGTTGTTCGAGTTGGAGTCAGTTGCGCCCGTTCCTTTGCCTTGGTACTGGTGTGAAAAAAGGGAGCTCTCCCCAAAACGTGCCCCAAAATGAAGACATCTTGGATTCCACCCGATCCTCAAGATGTAACTGTCATCAACTGTGACTGTGTTACTTGAGATCTTTCTCAAATCAATTCTTTACAGATAACGCTGCATTGTGTGGTATGCATAATATATTGTTTGAATGTTAACACTTGCTAAATTGTGTGTCCGTGTCCTGTCCATCGGTAAACACGTTATTTGTGAGCGTGAAAAATACATGCCTTCGGCTATCTTCTGCTGTAAATTATTTTCGACAGCTAAACGCTTTGTCATTTGACATGCGGCTAATCGGGTGGCGCCGTCAAAACTTATCATAAAAAAACCCTGACAACTAACATTCCAGTTGCATTTGTTCGGTCACGCACATACTTAACAAAATTAGATTTTTTTTTTGCTTTTTCAATATCCTCAGGAAAATACATACACCATGAAACACAAAATACAGCAGGAAAAGACGAGAATTGAGCCGCCAGCAGTGTTTAAAACTGAGCCTATGCAGGCTGCACCTATCGCAATCACAGTTCACTTGGTTAGGGTTAGCAGGGACGCCGGTGAGAGCCTAGCCTCAAACCCAGAGATTGGGCTCAAAAACGGTTTGTTGCCCCTGGGGTCAGGTGCTTCTTGGAAAGGTGTACATACCAATTCATAATTTTAAAGGGATACTTCAACGAAATTTGAAATATATCCTTCGTGTTCAAAACTAGGTTGAATATGATCCACAATATCCGTAATTGACAATCGCAAATTTGTATTTTGAGCCTGGTGGCTGTATTTTTTGTTACAAACGGCCCACTCTAGCAAGCGCTCGGAGAAGGCCCAGCTTAAGAGCATGTGACATCCGACGTAATCGTGACGTAGGTCGTCTCCGGACGAGCAAAGCTAAGGCGAGGCTGACGTCGAGAGGATGGCCTAGTCGTTCCAGCCACTGAAGCGGCTGCTTTTGTACGAATTTTGAGTGAAGGGTTAATCTTTTATAATCTTGTAGGGGGACAATAGCTACTTCTGGAACACACAAAAGGGATTTTCGGGTAGACGGGAGTTCCTCCTTCCCCTCTTCTCTCGTCATGGCCGAAGGCGAGACACTCACCGTCACTAGCTGTCAAGGTTCCTAGACGGGCATCACAAATGAGGCGTTAGCGACATCCACCAGGTGCTCTTTGCTAATAGTTTAATTCGTATTAAAATTCCTTTTCGTTAATTTTTTAACAAGATATTGGTGTGTTCGATGTGATACTGCTGCTTTGAACACATATATAGACCATTAAATAAGCGCTGAAATTTTGTTGTAGTATCCCTTTAATGCAACAAAAGAAGTGAAGTATGGTATGAGGAACAAAAATATTGGTACTAATCATGGGAAATGTGCTATAATTCGAAAACCAACATGCCTCGTGAAAGAAACATTATAAATATTCTGGTTCTTTCTCTGGCAAACATATACTGTAGGTTTTCTGCGGTTACTCTTTTGCAAGCTCCTATTCAGTAACGATTACTCAAGAAATAAGAAAAAGCACAAATCCTAGCAATCTGTTTTTTTTTTTTTTTTCCTCTTTTACATCATTTTTGTCAGTGGTTCTCCCTACCACAAGCTAGAATATGAGGTAGAAAAAGAAATAGGGCCAGCACTGCAAATTGGCCCCACCCCTCCTAAGCTGTCTTACTTCGGAAAAACTTTGCAGTACACCAGAATAAGAGTTCACATAAAGGAGCAAAGCAAAGTAAGTTTTTTTTTTTTTTTTTTTGATTGATGGCAGAGAAAAAAGTTTTCTGCAAACTCCACGAAAACTCTTTCACCTCGTGAGACACACATTCAAGTCAGACGTATACAAACATAGCCTTTTCCATCTAGCATTCCTTTAAGATAGGCGATGTCTGAACAAGTGAAAAGTCATGCAAAAAAGGATATATCTTCAGGAGGTGGATAACCTTGTCGCAAACAAATGACTGAACCGCAGGGTCTTTCATTGTAGATATGTACTTCATAATGCGGTTGACGATAACGGCCACATTGCTTTCATTAGCCATGGTAACCAGCAAGTTGAGTGTCTGTAAGCAACAAGTGGGATGATAATATGTTAATAACATCTTGTACACAGTCAAGCAAAGAAAAAATAGCATCTTGTACACAGTCAACTAAAGAAAAAATAGCATCTTGTACACAGTCAAGTAAAGAAAAAAGGTGACCATCACTGAGGCATTGCAAAATGATGGCTTACAGCAAAGGCAATTAGAATACTCTTTCCTCGAGGGATATCGAAAAAAAAAAAAAAAAGCAATAATGAAAAAAGGATTGTTGCATACACACTACTATGCTCTGTTTTACCAAAAGTCAGAGTGCAGTCCAAGGTTATAAAATATACAAACACAGAATCATATACTGAAAGCGCAAGGTCAAGGCACAATTGTCACTGCGCTTGATTAGTTTAACAAATGGCACGAGCACAAAAAAAAATAAAAGATGAAAGCCATGACATTGTGTTTTTGGCACTGCTTGATTAGTCCCATCGGCCTTTAGTGGTGGCCGTTTTCTCCAAGGTGTTCTAAAAGAAGGCCAAGTCAGCACCCCTGGCCGGTCTGTCCCCAGAAGGGGGGAAGGGGAAGTTGGGGGGGGAGGGGAGAGGCTGCTTAATTTCTTAACGCAGTCAGTGCCTACGCCCAGCAATGTATCTTATCAAGTAAAAAATTACCAGTTATTTTTCGCTTTACCTGAAGCACTACTTGCCAATAATCTAACAAAGATTGATATTGATTTTCTCAATAAGATTACCAATTTAACCACATGCAATTTAGAGTTTGAGTTCTCAGCAGAGCAAGGAGGAATTTATTAACAGATAAGATGTAACAGAACGTCCAACTGATGAGGACATATATCCTCGTCATTTATGTGATTTCATTCTTCTATCTAGGTTCTCAATACACGCCTAACTGAGCAACAAAGTAAACTCACTTTGATTCTCACACTTTCATCGGGATGATGAAGGCAATCAATAATCACTTCTTGGCAGGTCACTGCTTCGGTGGGACAACACTTGGAGAGAACCCTTTCCAGGGCATCGACACCTAATTCACAAAAGGGAAGTATTGTTGTGATTGTTGGAACAACCAATGGTGTTCTGCTATAGATTCTGCTTCATAAGCAAGCTGTGGATTGTCTGCATCGATAAAAGTTTTTGAAATGAATGTTTAAAATAAGATGCTTTAATATTTTCTGAATTATGATCCACAGCCTGTATACTAGTTGTCTTTGGGATTGTACCAGCTGCCGTATTTCTAAGCAAATAACTTTGCTTTTATACAGGTCTGAAAGCTGGATAAGTTGATATGTCATTTTATATACCCCAAATGATAGTCCTGGTGACAAGATTAAAATTGGCTAGCATCAGGGCAATTAACAACGAACCCGATTTACTATCGTCCTTGTGTAGTTGACAAGTAAGCAGCCTTTTAATAATGAATTCAATACAGATTTTGATTGTAACAGCTTTGAGATTGATCAATTATGTCAGTGATGTTAGGTTACAAATGCAGCACCTGCCCTCATAGCCCTTGTTTCTTCAAGACAATTTGTTTTAGACTTGCTGCAGTGCAGACCATATATTAAAAAATAGTGCAATTAGAAAGTGACTCCTAATCTAGCTATTTCTATACTTTTCTATACTTCTTTTAAAAGCAACATACCAGTATGTGTGTAGCATAAAAGTATACAATGTTATGATCACTTTCATACTACTTCACTGTGCCTTATGAAACTATTCAATGACAATATAAGCTAGACTAGCTATTGCAATCCCACAAAGGCAAATTCACATTCGTTTCTGAGGTAAAACAGAATTATGGCATGCACCAATCATGAGTACACATTTACTTCACTAAGTTCTAGCATGGAGAGACATCTGTGAGCAACAAGTTTGTTTTAACCATGCCGGAGAGTAGAAAAAATGGCCACCTGAGTAATTCAAGTCAGTGCTGCTCGAGTGAAGCATCTTAGCAATGCAAGAAATTGAGCTCTTTGTAAGTTCTGCATTGCCATCCATTATACAAGCTACTGTTCCCAGGCATTCCCAGATGATTGCTGGAAAAAAATAGTCAGTTTTGAGTTGGGACACTCCAACCCTGTACTTTGAGAAGACTTCATCATAGTACAAGATAATTCTTCTAAAAGGAACTGTGACAAAGGGTCAACCACTCATACCATAGTAAATTGTTTGGTTGACTACTCTCGAGTCAAGCACCTCTTTCAACAGTTGTGCCACCTGATTGTGTTGCCTGTAAGAAAAACAATAGTCACATTCACAAGAATTCACATCAGAGACAAAGTCTAATGACTATTTTGAGTCCATCACGATGGAATGACAACAGATGTGCATGCTTGGCTACAGTAACATGCTAGTACTTGCTCTGTGTCCAGGCTCATGTGTCCCAAGGTGCTCAGGATGGATACCTGCAGCCAAGGCACCGAGAGGCCTCCAAAGTCATAATCACTGTGCACTGTTTTCTGCCTAAGCTGGGCAAGCAACTTCAACAAAGTTGGGCACAGGTGAGAAGTAGTGTTTGGCTCAACCTATAAAATGGGAGATAAACCATTTTAATGAAGATAAAGCATTAGCAGACAAAACATGTGTGCAAATTACTTCCTTGCACACCCAAATGACAAAGGTGCCTCCCAACAATTTATGACAGTGCAGAAGTGCACATGAGTAAAATTGAATTGCAAAGCTTTAAATAAAAATAATGAAGACCCAGCTATTACATTAATACAAAAAATAAAAAGGCATGGAAATCACGTGTTTTACCACAGCATAAACAAACAATCCTTCATTAGTCCTAACATAACACTTTCAGCAATGCTTCCTCTTTACAGAGAAAGAAACCACAGTACCTGCATGCAGAGCAAAAAGAAAAGGAATGAGCACTGACAAGAAAACTGTGAGTGAAATCCTAACTTGTTCATTTCAAAAGGATATAAGAAAGGCTTATTTCCAAAGCTTGTTTTATATTACATCCCAAATTTCATAGGCTCAATTGATTGGAGCAATCAAATTCATTAAAAATCCACTTGAGCCACTAGTTATTTGGTTGCCATGGTGATTTTCAAAACTAAAATGGGTATTGTCATTGATACTAAAGTGTTGCATGTCTAGCACCACCTTTTCCTAGAGTTGTTACTCTGGCAGCTAAAGCTGTAATATACAGTGGGTTCAGTGAGTAGGATACAGAAGAAAGTTTTTGTGTACTTCCCTATTCATTCTAAACAAAACACACAAAAAGAACATAATGATGCAGATGTACCCCAATGCAAAGATATCCAGAAGCAACGTGCAATCTTCTTTGGTCATTTTGACACCCAAGATAAACACCACATCTGCGGCAGGCAGCAATCTATCACTTTCAAGAAAACTGAAGTCCCCTGTCGGTGACTTGATTTGAAGACTCCCTTGTAGGAAGGTTGAGGACACAAAGGACTAGATTATGAAGGGAAGGGAAGAAGCTTCTTGGTATAAACTAGAGGGCAAAATATGTCACAAAGGACACAAAGATGGCTTTTTGCAAGCGCAGTCTAGGTAACCGCAGCTCAACAGAGACAACAGGATTTAGCCTCGTTGCTGAGGGAAATGCTCACGATCGCTCGTGTCATTGTCACGTAAGTTCATATCGAAAAACTCTCAAAACCGGAAATTTGAAAAATGATGAATTACATTTTGCCATCATGCTGGCCAGAAGAGATGGTGAAGCAAGTACCAACCTAAAGCTTCCCCACACCGAATCGCCACTACTATTACTGAAGGCATGCACTATCACTCAGTTCTTCCCAGTAATCCCGAGAGAAATCTTGAGAGGATAGTACCTTTGTGCAAAGCTGCAAACAGCGGGCCGCCGATGCAACAACAGTGACGTCAGAGTCGGCAAGCCCCTTCTCCAGCACAGCGAGGTGCGCTCGAGGGATCTGGTTGGATCCACACTGGGAGTGGCAGTGCTGCAGTGCAATGAGTGCAGCTGTTCGTACTGCAGAGCTGCTTACGACAGCAAGAAAAGTGAGTGGAAATGAGAGATCATAAAAGCAGACAACACCAGTTACTACTTGAAGTACGTATTTCATGTTTCACAGGCACCAGGTATCCAGTATACTTCCTTGAAGCATAGAACACAACAGCGTTCTTTCTTGCATAAAAAGACACTGCACAGGCTTTTAAGATTTTCTTCCTCTAGCCTTTTGGATAATGCAGAGCAGTTGTTTTCAAATGAGGGTTTGTGGACCCTTTGGGCTCCCTGAAGGTCTTCTTGGGACCTCTGAAGCCTTCAACCATCAGCCAAGCCAAACAATAAAACCTTTTTTTTTTCTTTTTTTTTGTTGATGGTGACTGTTTTTTAAAACTATATAGACAAAATTATGTGCCCTGAGTTAGTAGGGCTGATTATTTTCCATTTCAAGGCTACAAAGTTGGCTCGCATGCATTTAGTTTCCTTCATTTACCCTTTTCTCATTGCAATCATTCAATACCACGCCCTCTCCCCAACAGATGGGGTCCCTCATCACTTCCGCCGATCCAAGGGCGGTCCCCGAAACATGATGTGGAGAATGGCAATGATGTTTAATAGGTGGTGCTGGGAAGTGTGGGGGACTAAGGAATTTATACTTCGGTTTACAGTGGGCACTCCAATCTCGCTTACATTTCTGGTTGAAATTTCAGAATGATGACACTTGACTTAGAAGCCTCTACAGCTGCGGATTGCATGCTTTGCTCGCTTGCAAAGAAAACATTGTCATTGTGATGCTTTCATGTTTATTTTTTGTATTCCGGTAAATGATTGATTATATCAGGAGAAACCATTTCAATTTACTGTCCTGCAGAAAGCCATTTTTCTATACAATGTGAAACAGTAAGCATAAATTAATGGGTCTATATCACATGAGCAAATGACCCTTTTGGCAAACAGCGGTCATTTGAACAACTCAACGTTTTAGCGAATAACTGGGGTGCACGTTAACCCGCCTCCCCGCCTGCAATCACACTGCTTTACAACGACAGTCTGCAGCAGCTCATTACAAAACTGTTAACATTCCTGGCCCACCCCTGAACACCGCTTTGCGGCGGCCGACAATTCGCTAAAGTGTCTTACGATGAAAAGTAAGTGTTCGCTAAAACGTCAATCAACAAACTGAGTGCCACACTAAATTAATCAATCAGAAAATAAAAAGATAGTAGTGCAATAGGGAGCAAGTCTATTGAACCCTGTTTGCTTAACACTAGGTGTAAATCCTCAAAATCTTATTTTTATAGGCACTAGGAAAAACAAAATACCCGTGATGGCAACTGTTGATTGTTGGGCGAGTTGGTATTCTATGTGCGCATTGTAGTTGGTATTGTATGTACGTATTGTACCTCTGTCCTTGTCTCAAAGTGCAATCGTGTTTTCTTACCTATGATGTGAGGTTTTCTCCAAAACAAGAGAGTGCACAGAGCTTGCCAGTTCTCTGTGGATCAGCCTCGGTATTGCTGCCAGTGCCATCACAACGATCAGGGATACATTACTTGAAAGGTCCTGAATAGACGTGAAGCAAGTTCTTTTTATAAGGGTGCACCAAAAGTGGTTACAATCAAACAGTGCTGCTTCGTTCCTATCCTTTACAGTGCAGAGGGACCCAGATGCTGTGATTCACCCAAGTACTGTAGAAGCTAGGATTGATGCAGCATACTAAGTGCTACACATACCCTCTGTATGCTGTTTATGAGGAGCAAGGTGAGCTCATGGTTTGGATGAAGGAAGACGGACGTAGCGAGGTACCCTAGAGAAAGAATTTGCGTACATTGTCAAGCGTAACAGTAGTAAAGAGTTGCCCTCGTGCTCAATATGCCGCCAGACGCTCACCAAACCAAGTCTATTCTGACGCAAATGTCTTACCAATTAATTTCTGCCTCAGGTTCCCTTGCTGAAGTAACTTGACAGCGTGCATGTAGGCAAATGGTGTAGGATGACCTAACATTTCGAAATACATTGCTTGTAGCAGGCAAGCTTCCATCCGCCCCTGTGGGTAGGAAACGAGAAGTATTCAGAAACATCGCTGCCGCCCTGTGCACCTGGAGAGCTTACATACCGACTTCGTGTATTCTTTCATATCCTTCTCCAAAGTAGACAGTCTTTTCGCAATAAGCTCATCTTCGTCCTTGAAAGAAGGTACGGGTTATGCAGTGTACAGGCTTCACTAGTGTAGCTGGAGCTCCCGAAGTAACGCGTAATGACAAAAAGACATCATAACAAAACCTTACTTCTTTCGAAGGTGCAGATGCAATCTCTGACAGTACTTCCTGCAAGTAGAAGTTTCCTCCAAGTATGTTTTTGCCCACATACGTCTGCAGGGAATTTACTGTTTTTTCCACGATATTCGACATGGCTATTCTTTATCGTGCCAGGCTCATTTTATTTTAGTTTAGCTCCCCCGAACCATTAAAAACGCGAATAACACCGACAAAATGAGCGCTGCCATTTTGATACGTTGTTGCCAAGAGCTAGCTAAAAGCCGCGGGGTTTCATTGGTGTTTAAAAACGGTAAAAACTTAGATGTTGTCTTTAGGTTACAAACTAAAGTAATAAAACACAATTTTTTTTAATTTTATGCCTAAAAATTGAAAATAGTTGTATATAATTGAATTTAAATAAAAATAACGTTCGGTTGCTAGGCCGATCCAATCCAATCCAATCGGCAACCTGTCCGCTCTTCAAGATGGCAGGTCGCGGAAGAGGTGGACGTGCGGCTTTTCCTGAAATCCGTCATCAGTTGAGAAGACCGAAAGATGAGGTTCCCGCGCCGAACGAGAGCCACCCAGAAGTAGGCGACACCAAAAAGGAACAAGTACAGCCCCCGCTTTCTACGGTAACAGCCGATGGACGTTATGCGTCGATTGGTTGTTTTGTTTCTCTTTGTTGCGGTGATCTTTCGCCGGTTGACATGTGTGCTGTCAACCTAGAGACAAGGATGATTACCAATAATGAACACTGTAAGATCGATGAATGTCTCCCGAATTACGCTTATATGCACATTTGAAATGTATTGCTCGCACTGACGCCTACAAAAGTTGGGTCGATTTCGGTACCCGGAACCCGTGGTTGAAGACAGTTCGACACCCAGGCGCGCAGTCTACTCGTCGCATGCGCTGCGAGTTCGGCTTCGCTCACGTACAGACTCGTGGATCTCGCCTGTAAAAGAGCATAGGAGATGGAGTTTTTTTCGTATTCCGATCACTCATGAGGGTGCAATGGAGACGAACCTTATGGTGAATTACGCTCGCAGTTCCTGAGCGCTGCAAAAACGCTCCATTTGGAGCGCGGATATTCTTATCCCAGATCTGGCTCGAGTTGGTCATCCTCCGCTTGTAGATCTCTGGCAGCGCCCGCCCCACGGAGAGCCTCCAACCCCGCCGAACTTGCTCTGCGGGATTTCATGGTGAATTCCACTCGTAGATCCGGAGCGCTTTCCAAAATCCGCCAGGGAGGCAAAATTCCGCGCCGTGGGACCCGCTCCGAATCGACGAGGGGAAGATAAACTCACATTTTTGGAGCGACCTCCCCCACACCCCTCCCCCTCGCTTCCCCCTCGGCCGTTCAAAATTGCCTCTGCTTGAACTCGGCAAGCGCACCAACGCCTCAGCCGACTGATCTTTCCGACGACCAGTGGCAACTGTCACTGTTTAGCTGCAGAAATAACACGCGACACAGGCCGGGCGAAAATAACTGTACCGTGGAGCCCGTGTCACAAATAATGAGGAAGACGTCCGTGTTCGCCACGGTCACATACCTTTTGGCCGCCTCGAAGCGGCGGGGCACGCACAACGATCGCCATCGGTGGAGTTCGGATTGCTGGTAAAACTTGAATAAACACAAAGAGGTAACAAACTATCACATGCACGGTCGATGTCTAATCTGTTTTTGCTTTATTGCATGAGAAAAGGCCGCAGCATGCATTGTAAAAAGGTAAACAATCATTGGCTGCAGACTGAACAGGCCTTACCTTGTGTCTGCCTCCGGATTTTCTGTCATTCTTTTTCTCATTCTTCCTCTCACGATCACAGATGTCAGCACTTACGATTTACCATGCTCCAGTCCCGGCTTTATATCCCTGATCTACTTGAGGTAGAACCGTTCGAGCCGTCACAATCCTGCATAAACAAACGACGCATCCATACAAATCCAACTCGACGGCCCGATCAGCCTGACTGGTCCGGCAACCTCGCCGTGCATGCGCACTGTCGAGTTAAAAAAGAAATGACATATGAGCTCTGTCAAGTTCTGGAAAGATCTGTGAAATCCCGCGGAGCAAGTTCGGCGGGGTTGGAGGCACTTCATGGAGTGGGTGCTGCCAGAGATCTACGAACGTAGGATCAGTCTTGGGGCAGTAACTAGTTACTAGTAACGCGTTACCGGTAACTACTAGTTACTTTTTCTCGGTAACTTTTACCTATAATGCGTTACTTTTTAATACTGGTAACTTGTAACAGTACCACTGCTACTTTTTTTTATTAAAACTGTAACTGTTTAGGCCGTTATAGTTACTTTTTTTTACTATATAAATTAGAACCTACTGCTGCGGGCATAGTGAAATTCCCATCTTGAAGTATTTTCCCCCCTCGTTGGCACGAAAAAAAAAATCGAACGAGAAGTCTGGCCACGCATTAAACAAACAAAGAATTAATTGTCTGGTTTAGCTTACAACCGAGCATTGACGATGGACGAGGCTGCATGCCCGCGGTGGTAGAGGCGGCAAACAATGTGTGTTTCACCGACTTTGGCTCACTCTTTTCTTGTGGGGACCATCTGCGGGTGTTGGTGGTTGTGCGAAATGTCTCGAATATTCTTTCTGGGCTGTTTCCAAACCCCCTACCCCCCTCTCTCTTCCCCTTTGTCGGATATGTCCGTGCTGTCGTTTTTACACTCGGCCGCTTGCCATTTCCTCTTATTAGTTTTCAAGGAAGCTGTCCCCATATTGTGCAGAAAGCCGGCGCTTGTTTAACTTATTCATTCTCTTCAGAGCCACTCGAGTAAACACAAAGGCAAGGTTCGAGTGTAATTGTCTTTTTCGTCGATAGCCTCAAGAAACACCCCAATGGAAGGACATTTTGTTGAGGAATCTATACAGTGCTACAGTTGAAGCGATTTCCCTTAAAACATGTCTTAAGTGAGAGAGAGGGCTGTTTTTTGATGTGTGCGGTCTGGTCTTCCGCAGCTGTCGTTTCGGACACAGACGCCGCGGTGGTCGTCGTACACTCGTGTAGTGCCAGGAGGCCTCACCTTGTCTCCTTTCCCTTTATATTCTTTCGAAGCTGTTTGACCTGCTATGTTTAGGTCTTCTTCCGAGTATATCCTATAAGGTAATTATGTGACCATCTGTGTCCTCATTCGTTTCGGAGTGAAAAAGGAACGAAAACGCTCACTGATGCGTGCCGATGGCAGTTTTGAAAAACAGTTGATTCTAAGTTATAGCAATTATTGAAAAAATATTGTGCACATCAAAATGCTGAAACGGCGAATGACACAAAAAGAAAACTTCCTTCGGGTTTAAATTTTTCTAATTTCTCAGTTTACCTTTCCTCTCACTATAGTGTAACAAGTAAAACAATACTGTTTTGGTTTGTGATATATTGGGTCCAATTTTTGTACTGTAACAAGAAAGTAACGGCATTACTGCTTTTGCTGTAACTGTAACACGTTACTTTTTGAAGCCGGTAACTGTAACAGAGTTACTTTTCCCAACGGCATTACTGCTTTTGCAGTAACTGTAACTGTAACGCATTACTTTTTGAAACCGGTAACTGTAACAGTTGCTTTTCCTCCCTAGGTGACTGTAACTGTAACACTGTTACTTTTTACTGGTAACGTGCCCATGACTGCATAGGATGACCAACTCGAGCCAAATCTGCGAGCGGAATATGTGCGCTCGAAATGGAGCGCGTTTGGAGCACTCGAGATCTGTGAGCGGAATTCACCATCAGGGATCTTTGCGGAAGTTGACAGAGCACACTACGTCATTTCCTTTTTAACTCGACAGTGCACATGTGCGGCGAAGTCGCCGGACCGGTCGGGCCCAACGAGCTGTCGAGTTGGATCTGTTGGGATGCGTCGGTTGTTTACGCGGGATCGTGACGGCTCGAATGCTCGAACATAGATCAGGGATACAAGGCCGGGACTGAAGCGTAGTAAATCGTAAGCGCTGAAATCTGTGATTGTGAGAGGAAGAACGAGAAAAAGAACGACGGAAAATCCAGAGGCAGGCACAAGGTTAGGCCTGTTTTTTCTGCAGCCAACGATTGTTTACCTTTTTACACTGCATGCCGCCGGCGTTTTCTCGTTCAATAAAGCAAGAACAGATTAGGCAACGACCGTGCAAGTGATGGTTTGTTACCTCTTTGTGTTTATTCAAGTCTTACCATCAACCTGAATTCCACCGATGGCGATCGCTGTGCATGGATGCCACTTTGTGGTGGCCGAAAGGTATTTGACAGTGGCGAACGCGGACGTCTTGGTCGTTATTTGTGACACGGGCTTCACGGTATGGACATTTTCGCCTGCCCTGCGTCGCGTGCTATTTCTGCAGCTAAACAGTGACAGTTGTGACTGGTCGCCTGAAAGCCCAGTCGGCTGAGGCGTCGGTCGGCTTGTCAAGTCTAAACAGCGGCCATTTTGAATGGCCGACTGTTTCGGGCGAATCGGCGGGTCGCTCCAAAAATGCTCGTCGATTCGGAGCGGGTTTTACGGAGCGGAATATTGCCTGCATCGCGGATTTTGGAAAGCGCTTCGGATTTACCAGTCGAATTCACCATTAGCTGATGCCTCCACACCTCTTCAAGCCTGGATCCTTGCTTATGCCGCTGTCATTATGTGTTTGACGAGGGTTCGAGCGTCTGCGACGCCGGCAAAGTGTCTTGATGGAACTGACATATAGAATAGTCAAGTCATGTCTCTGGCTTCCGAGATAGCAAAAATTTCTCGGCAAAGTTTTGTTTATTTCAGTTAATGCCAGCTCTTCTAAGCCATTTTAAAAAGGAGTTTTACGCCGAAAAAATCAAATTGTTCATCTGAGTCATTTCTAGCGATATGTGTTCAGTTGAACATCAAACTGGAATATGGATGTGCCCAAGTGGGCATAGAAGAAAAATGGATTGCCATCCTTCAACCCACGACAAGAAAGAAATAAGGCAAAAACTGACACACATGCACATTGTCTCAAACTGGTAACTAATTTTTTATTTCAAAACTTTTTTTTTCATACAGGTCGATACCTGCTAGCACTGAGGTCAACCGAGGAATGGACCCAAAGCTTTATTACCTCAAAACATAACCACAAAAGAAGCACCTCTGGCCACATTCTGAGCTTGACGACTAACTGCACCAAGTCCCAGTCTTCAAACCCAGAGACTTCCCCACCCAAGGACTAGGAAAGTTGGCTGACATATTTTCCAGGGCTTGCAAATCACATTTTTTTCTCTCAAAAGTCTACCGTAACAATCCTTTCTAAGTTATAAAATTCTGACATTCCGTATTAATGAATGCAACAGCTGGTGAACCAAACTACACTCGGCGACAGCTTTTCTTTGCAATGCAGTGGAAGTTGAGGAGAGTCCGCGCACAGCCTTTTCCAGCACTCAAAATGGGATAGGGAACGCATGTCTGTACCCTCCACTGCATTGCCAAGAAAAGTTGTCGCCGAGTATAGGAGTAAATTCTGGTCTTGCTAAAATGGAGGGTTGCACACGAGACTTTTGAAAGGAATAATCGGTATCGCAAGCTCTTGAAGATGTGTTGGCCTACCCTCCTTGTCCCTGTGTGGGGAAGTTCCTGGGCTTGAAGAATGAGGTTTTGTAAAGTTAGTCATCAAGGTGAGGCTATAGTCAGGTGTTCATTCATTCCTTTGTTGACTTTAAGAAGGAGGTTGCTACAAACAGTAAGGAGGTACTAATCTGTATGTAAAAGCAAGGTTGTAAAATGAATGAGCAATATTCAACTCTAAAGGATTGCAGGACTGTAGTAAGGCAAGAAGCGCCTATCAGAAAGCATGTGGTGCCATTATTACTTAGAAGCACTTATATCCGTACAACACAGTAAAAACAACTCAGAAAAACACATTGACTGCAGGTTCTGCAAATGCTGCACTGCAGATAGCTTTTACATTGGTTTTGATTTCTATGTCCTACGCCGTTATCTTTGATGGCGAAAAGTACCTCAGCTCGACTTACTTGATAAGGAATGTGCCGAGTTCAAGACGGTCTGTGTGTATGTCCATTTTCTTTAATTCCTTTCTGTGTCTCGGGTTGCAGTATGGAAGACATTCACAGCTTGCCTGCGTTTTTGCCCTTTTATCATTAAGAATGGATTACGTATAAATAAGAATGCTCCCTTTGACAAACACAACAAACTAAACCTTAAATACTTACCATGACCGAAGGCACGCTAAAATAAGCAACATATTGGAGAAAAATGCAGCCAAAATAGCAATATAAACTTTTTGTCAAAAAGAAAATATTTTTAGTTCAATAATATCAAGTGCTTTCTCAAAATGTGGTATCTCCACAGTAATAAAAGTATTGTCTGGAGGGCCTTTGGCAACTGGGAGCAAGGCAGCTCCAGAAGGACCAACATATATCTGTGAAGGCACGACCACTAGTTAGTTGAAGACCAACCTGCAATTGCCTCTTTCGATTTTCTCACCCAAGACAATTCACCACAACATGGCGAATTTCCAGATATCTAAGACTCTCCAGTGCTTGTAGCCAGCAAATTATCAACAATGTGGCTGTCATATTGCATTGGAAAAAGATATGGTCCCATAAAATACACTTCTAGCCTATAGTATTCCCCGAGGGTACCCTGAGAGCGTCTCTTTCCACAAATTTTTGTGTTCACGCTCACTATTGGTCTGCTCCCCTATCAAACTTTGTGTAATCAACTGTTCTCTGCTCCCCTTTGATCAGTGTTTAGGAGAATGACCACATAATTTTTAGAAATACCAAAACATTTCAGAAGATCTTTCTTTAATGCCATCATCTTGTCTTGTTATCCTTCCAGGAAAATGATGAAATCAAAAAGCTCTGTCAGCACTTCAAGTACCTGCAAGCCTCCGACACCATTTTTACCAAGCACCTGACCTCGCTGCGTGGTCAGATCAAGACAGACGAGGATGCTGACCATGCTGCCGAATGCATCTATGATCTCGGTCAGCTGGGCCCAGATCAGGCTGAGGTGGCCAGCGTGATTGCGGTGCAGTTGGCGGATTTGGAAGTTGGAAGCTCCAAGCTGAGGTCCAAGATCCTGTCACGAATGCAGACAGACTTTGAAGGTGACCACTTTTGTTCTCAGATTTCATGAAAGTAGAACACTTGGCAAGCTGGAGTCTGATCATTTTCAAATAGCTGTCTGTGCTGGAACCAAGACAGACTATGTTGTACCGGTTTGAAAGCTCGCGGACATTTTGACTGCCAATCGCTATATCAGGTACCCTTTCCTTAGGCATCCTAGATCTTTTTGACAATTCTGAATGAATGAGCAGAGGTGAACATGCTGTTCATCTGTCAAATATTCTAGAAAAATCTATTTTTTCTCTTGTCCTTTTTTTTTTACTTAGTTCAATTATTGCCAATTCTTGCAGGTTATTGCAGGAGCGGATACAATAACATTTGCAAAGATACACGACGCACAAAGTTATACATTGAATCATTGTAATTACCCTGCTACAATAATAAAAAAAGAAACGAGAAGGAAACATAATTAATACTTGCCAGAAAACCAATCCAACAATTTTTCTTCAAATGCTTTGATAGAAAAGATATCAATCTGTTTTCTGTTGGTCATCTTTAAAGGGGTACTGAAACAAAATTCTAGTGCCTATTTTAGTGTCTAAATGTCAACTATGTTTTGTCAACACAACAAAGGCACTAATTTTTTGTTAAGAACAACACCAGAACTTTATTTAAAGGGATTGTCCGGTCAAATTTGGTATTCGAGAAAACAATTGAATATCATTGTTATTGCCTCGAGACGGATCGTACGTGAAATATCTGAATTTTATATGCCCCTCTGGCCCCGCTGCATGAGTAATTGAATTTATGCTGCTCCAATCGCATTCTAGCGTAAATGCTGCTTTCGTTGGCAACATTGAAGCTCTGACGTCACAAAACACAAAGCGCGCATTTTTGTCTGCCTCAGTGTGCTTCGTTTTTGTTGTTGCGCTCGTCTTGTTTCGTAGTTGTGTGAGATTGTTGTGGCGCGGTTGGGTGCCACAACCACCGGGCAGCACGTGTGAGCCAAGGCATGACGTTCCACACTTTTCCGCGAGACGTGCAGTGTCGAGCGAAGTGGATTATCGCCGTGCGTAAGGACTAGGTTCCAGTCAAGATCGAGATCCCGCTTATGCAGCAATCATCTCACAGAAGAGAGCTACGAGCTGAGCTCTAAGCGGACAGAAGGCTCGTAAGCTGTGGTGTGAAGCTGTGTCAGCGATATTAAGCTATGTCCATCTACTCCTTGCCCAAATCGGATCAATCAATTTGATTATGCAGCGAAACCGAAACCAACAGCTAGGCCATCTGGAAACGATACCGGGAGTTGTATTTAGCACGCGTGCAGCCCGATTCTGTTTGACCCGCGTGTGAAAATGGAGCGTGACTTCGATTCACCAAGCTCGTCCAAGTCAAGTGACGACATAAATTTGAACTATTCGCCTTTTGTCTTTGACCCGCGGACATCGCCTCTGAGGGAACGACCCACAGCCTCATCACCGGTCCAGTGGATCCGCTGACATGTGTGCCCAGATGCCGCTTCGTGTACTTAGGTCCGCTTCAGAGGCAAAATCTGCATCCTTTGCTTTGCAAGCGCCCCTAGTTCGATCGGTGGCCGCCGCAGTTGTGTTTGCTTGAAACGGCATACATTTGCTCGAAGCTTATGGCTGTCTGCAAGTAATTTCCTGCTAAAAGACGTGACTTTTTTTGCACATGCTTGGGAACTGCATTAGAAGAACCGTATTTAAGTAGGGTACAGCCTAGAAGACTATATAATTCTGTCGTGTACTGGTCTGTGGTGGCATGCCGGCCGCGAGACAGTGCGACGGGCACGCGAGCGCCGGCTGCTGCGCGAGCCAGGCCTCCTTCCACGTGCCCCCATTCGGTTATGACTGCTCAACCTAGAGCACGTACACAACGTACATGTACCAATAAACCCTTGGTCCTCCGTGCCTGACGCACCGGATGCCTCGAGTAGACTACATTACACTGGCGACGAGGATAACGTGATGTCTCGGCAACGGTAGCGCTCCACCACAGCACGTATGACTGCGTATGCACCCTTCGAAGAGTTTACGCCAGATGACCTTACGTCCTGGCCACGCTATATTGAGCGCCTGGATTTTTACTTCGTGGCGAACGATATCACCACGCCAGAGAAGAAACGAGCCGTTCTCTGCAGCGTCTGTGGCTCGGCCACATGTGCCATCTTGCGCTCTCTCTGTTCGCTAAGAGCTCCAGTCGAAACACCATACAAGGACATCATACTCAAGCTTCTTGAGCACTTCGCTCCCCTGCCACCGGTAACCTTCGCGCGATTCCAGTTTTTCAAGCGGGGCCAGCGTTCTGGGGAGTCTGTGGCAGACTTCGTAGCAGATCTCTGACGTTTGTCTGAGCACTGTGAGTTTGGTGAGACGCTCGACGACATGCTTCATGACCGCGTAGTTTGCGGCGTTCAAGACGACGCGTTGCAGCGACGTCTACTCGCCGAGCCGAACCTAACACTGTGCAAGACCCTAGACATAGCGAAGGCAGCGGAGCTAGCTAAATTCCAGGCCATCGAAATCCGTACCTCTGCTAAACCGGAGCCTACGGCGGTATCAGAAAACTATCGCATGGGGATCGACGCGACGTCAAGGTCACCGTGTGGAAGCACCGCACCGCGCGCCTCAAGCTCTCCGCCTACCGAATCCAGCTGCACAGTTGAAACCATGGAGGGCAGCCTGAAGCCAGGTTTGCCAGGTACATGCTGGTGTTGCAATGGAGCGCATAACGCAAAAACGGGCCGCTTCGTTGGGGCCGTGTGCCACTTCCGTAATAACAAGGGCCGCATTGTCGCTGAGTGGCGCCAAAAGGAGAGAGCCGAACGTCGACAGTCAGCAATCCGCTACAACAGGCTGGAGGCAGTGGACCCATTGAAGAGAGACTACTGTGTCTTCGCCATGGAGCCACCCGTATTTTGCGATGTGGTAATCAACGGCTGCAATCTGCGGATGGAAGTTGACTCCGGGTCGGCTTTTACGGTTGTCAACCCGCGTGTGATGCGCCAGCTCCGCATTTCCAAAGGCAGCCTCAGGCCGTGCACCTTCCAGCTGCGCTCTTATACACGGCAGAGTCTTCGGATTCTCGGAAGCGCAACAGCGGACGTTTCCTTCTAGGGCAAAAGCGTGGAATTGGAGCTTCTGGTTGTAAAGGGATTTGGCGTCAGTCTCTTAGGGCACGACTGGTTCCGGTTCTTGGGCATTTCCCTTTAGGGTGTCAACCATGTCGACGCCTCGTTGCAGCATGTTCAGGCAGCCACAGTCCATAATGCGATGGACGAATTTTCTGAGCTGTTTCAAGCAGAACTCGGGAGAAGCAAGGGGCCGCCGGTTCGTGTAGATATCGACCCCGCCATGAGTCCCAAGTTTTTTAAGTCCCGCCAGGAGCCACTTCCGCTGTTGCCAAAGGTCGACGAGGCCATCGATAAACTGGTGGAACAGTGAATATTTGAGCCTGTTCTTCAGTCTTCCTGGGCAACCCCCGTCGGTGCCCATTCTCAAGAAGAATGGGAACATCCGCCTATGCGGCGATTACAAGTGTATGGTAAACCGTGCCCTCCAGTTAGAAACATACCCCTTGCCTACGGCTGATCAGCTGTTTTCCAAACTGGCTGGCTGTCAGAAGTTCTCCCAGCTAGACTTGGAACAGGCATACCACCAGAAGGAAGTAGACAAGGATACAGCAGATCTCCAAACGGTCAACACTCAACGAGGACTTTTCTGGGTCACACGTCTACAATTCGGCGTTGCTACAGCTGTAGCGATCTTCCAACGCTACATGGAAGAATTGCTCGCCGGACTTGATGGTGTTCTGGTGTTCTGGTGTTCCTCGACGACATTGTGATTGGTGGTAGAAACAGTGAAGAACACGAAGCTCGCCTCCGGGCCGTGCTGAAGAGAATCAGTGACGACGGTCTCCGCCTGAACAAGGGCAAATGCGAGTTTGGAGTGCCTCAAGTGACGTTCCTGGGGTACCAAGTTGACAGGGAAGGCATACATCCTACGGAAGACAAGGTTCTGGCCATCAAGACCGCCCCCGAACCGGAAGACAAACAGCAATTGCAGTCCTTCCTTGGCCTCTTAAATTTCTATGGTCGGTTTCTGAAAGGGGCTGCTCATGTTTTGGAGCCTCTTCATCGGTTGCTGGACAACGGTGCTGCATGGAAATGGGGAAGGGGAAGGGAAGAAGTGACAGCTTTCTGACCAGCCAAAGATCTCTTACAGTCGTCCGTGGTTCTGGCACATTATGATGTCGCCATTCCCTTGGTATTGGCATGTGATGCTTCTTCGTATGGGTTAGGATTCGTCATGAGCCATGTCTCACCGTCGGGTCAAAAATCTCCAGTAGCTTTCGGGTCAAGGACAATGACACAAGCAGAACGAAACTACGCACAGACGGATCGTGAGGCTTTGGCTGTCATAGCGGGAGTGAACAAATTTCATCAATTTCTGTACGGACGGCATTTCAAGATTTTTACGGACCACAAGCCCCTTCTGGGGTTGCTGAACCACAGCAACCCGATTCGCCAGGTCTTGTCACCACGCCTTTTGTGCTGGAGCCTGATGTTGGCGCAGTACGACTACGAGCTTATTTACCGACCTGGCCGGCAGATGGGAAATGCTGACCTTTTCAGCCGCCTTCCGCAGAAGGTACAGGACTTCGAGGTACCTCCCCTTTATGACGTTTTGCTCATCGAGTCAACCCCCGAGGTGCCTTTCAACTCAAAGAAGATAGCTTTCCTAACAAGGAAGGATTGCATTCTCGCCCTCGTACTGCGTTGGATTCTGCACGGCTGGCCATCTGAGAAACCTTCCGAAGTTTCCAAGCCATACTACGATCGCCATGACGAACTGTCTGTTTACAACAGTTGTATCTTGTGGGGCAGCCGTGTTATCGTACTACCGCTTCTTCGAGAAGTTTTGGACCTACTTCACAGTGGTCACCCTGGCGTGGTGAGGACGAAGGGCCTTTCAATGGGCTATTTATGGTGGCCAGGACTTGACCAAGACGTAGAGCGCCG